TCTTCCACCACTAATATGGTTAAATCTCCTGACTAGTAGAATGTGTGCTTCGTAAAGACAGGAGATTTGTCCTTGTTTCTGAATCAGCATTAACTAGCCTGGTAGAGGACTTTAATAGATACACCATTGAAATATTACATAGCTTAACAGATAATTTCTGGTTACTGACCTAAGGAGTAACCATCATTCATTCATCTTTCAACCAAACATATATTAAAAGTTTTCCATATATTGACAGGTAGGCAGAAAGATTATGGTAGAAACTAGGCAATGAATTCTTGGGTGTTTGCTACCAAATTCACTAAACACTGCTATATATTTTAAAATTTTTGTTAAACAAGGTTGAAGGTAAAAGGTTGTCATATGCTTGTCACTTGAGGTTGGCTGTTTCTGACCAGGATAAATGAATGAGACAGGGACACCAAGAAATGAGGGGGAGAACAGAGAGAGTAAAAGCAGCTCCAAATCCAAGACTGCAGCCATGAGCTTAGAGTCTTTCTTGCTTTTGTTGAAAATTGCCAGGAGATAGATAAGTCATTAGTTCTTTACTAATGAAGCTATGTTTTTCTCTGCTAGCATTCTTTTGCTATCTCAGAAACAATGAAACCACAAGCACAAACTAGGAGGCAGCGTGCAACATTTGGTTTTCCTATCTCCTGTGATCTGTCTCAGGAGAAACACTGAATTGCCCTTTGTAATGTGTTACAACAGGAATTCTAGCTTTTCTGTGCTTCCTTCAGTTCCTGATTAAGCATTCGGCTTAACATTTGGTTTAATAACTGGCTTCCCACGTTTTCTCCCTTTTGTTTTTATTATTATTATTTTGTCATCATATAGCTTCTTCCCTTTCATTATTGTTTGTTATTCCCCCCCACCACCCCATCTCATCCATTCTGCAACTCTATCCTCATAAAAGTATGGCCTCTTTTGACTCATCTCGGAGTTTCACATTTCTGGATGGTACCTATAGTGGCTTTGTGCCTGTAAAAATATAAGCAAATCTTCAACCCCAATGAATGACAAATCCCTTTTCCCATTCATTAGCTAGCGATTATCTAAAATGTATTGGCTAATTTAATTCTTTAGTTGATTGTAATACCCAATGTCTTTCAGTTGGAGTTTCTCCTTTCTTATTGTTGTTGTTGTTATGTGCCGTCGAGTCGTTTGCGACTCATAGCGACCCTATGTACAACAGCCCTAAACCCTGCTCTAACCTGTGCCAATCTCATTGCCTCTGACATTGCCCGATTAACCCCAGTCACTGAATCAATCCACTTCATAGAGGGTCTTCCCCTCCTGCACTGTCCCTCTACTCTACCCAGCATGATGTCCCTCTCCAAAGACCTGTCTCTCCTCGCAATATGTCCAAAGTATGTCAGACGAAGCCCCAGAATCTTTGCCTCCAAGGAGTAGCCTGGTTTAACCCTCTCTAGGATGAATCTGTTTCTTTTCTTGGCAGTCCATGGTACATTTAATACTCTTCTTTAGCACCACAGCTCAAAGGCGTCAATTCTCCTTCTGTCCTCCCTAGTCATTGTCCAGCTCTCTGATGAATAACAAGTGATTGCAAAGATCATGGCCTGTATCAGGCGCACCTTCGTCTCCAAAGAGACACTGTTGCTCTTGAGTACTTTAGAGACTTTAGCAGACTTTCCCATCACAATACGTTTTTTGCATTTTAAAAATTTAAGGTAAATATTAAAGTTATCTGACAGTGTGGAAAGTATTGGACAGTATCATTAATATCACATGCAAACAAAATCCTGGTGAAGATTATCCAAAAATGATAGGAACAGCACATCAACAGAGAACTGTCAGAAGTGCAGACTGGGTTTAGAAGGGATTGTGGTACTAGGGATATTATAGCTGATGTTAGATGGATCTTGGCTGAAAGCAGGGAGTACTAGAGGAATGTCTGTGTTTCATTGACTATGCAAAGATGTTTGACTCTGTGGACCACAACAAACTTTGGCTAACTCTTGGGAGAATGGGAATCCTAGAACACTTGATTGTGCATGTGCAAAACTTATTCTTGGACCAGGCGGCAGTCATCAGAACAGAGCAAGGGAACACTGCATGGTTCAAAATTGGGAAGGGTGTACGCCAGAAATGTGTCCTATCTTCATAACTTTTTGATCCATATGCAGAACAGATTATCCTGGAGGCTGGGCTCTATGGGGAGAAATGTGGAATCAGGATTAGGGGAAGACTCATCAACAATCTGTGTTATGTGGATGACACAACCTCGCTTGCTGAAACTGAGGAGGTCAGAGGACACAACTCTGCTTGCTGAAACTGAGAAGGACCTGAAGTGCTTGATGCAAAAGATCAGGACTGCAGCCTTCAATATGGATTGGAGCTCAATATCAAGAAAACAAATATCCTCACCATTAGGCCAAGTGGCAGCATTGTGGAGGATGGTGAAGAGATTGAGATTGTAAACAGCTTTAGTTTGCTTGGCTCCACAATCAACACTCTGGGCACCAGCAGCCAGGAAATTAAAAGACATATTGTATTGAGAAAGTTTTCTGTCAGAGAACTCTCCAAAGTACTGAAGAACAATGATGTCACTCCGGAAATTAAGATGCACCTGATACAGGCCATGGTCTTTGCAATCAAGTGCTATGCTTCAAAGAGCTAGACAATGACTAGGGATGATAAAAGGAAAATTGATGACTTTGAGTTGTGGTGGTGGAGAAGAGTATTCATGGAGTGCTAAGAGAATGAACAGGTTCTTCCTGGATAGGGTTAAATCCGGCTGCTCCTTGGAGGCAAGGATTCTAAACCTTCATTTGACATATTTTAGACATGTTGCAAGGAGGGACAGTCCTTGAAGAGGGATGTTATGCTTGAGAGGGTGGAGGGACAGTGCAGAAGAGGAAAGCCCTCAATGAGATGGATTGATTCAGTGATTGGCATAATGGGAGTAGGTGTGTCATAGACAGTAAGATTGGCACAGGATAGAGCAATGTTTAACATTGTTTTACATAGGGTTGTTGTGAATTGAGGAGTTGATATTCGTCCTATCCCATACCCCCTCCCTTTTGTTTTTTCAACATAGTTTGTAAAGCCAAATTAACCCTTTCTATTATAGGTTGTTCTTGATGATTATAATGAATACCAGTAATATCATTAATGCTCCATTTTTAGAATAATTTTTGTGTTTTCCTAGCATTATAATCAAGAGCATTATCAGTTTTAATACTTGATGGTATACCCATCACATTAAAAGTTTTAATTAAATGTTGAATTATGTACTCTGATTTTTCTCCTGTTAAAGCTGTTGCTTACTGAAAGCCAGAAAAAGTATCAATGGTATGATGGACATATTGTAATTTTCCAAATGATAACATACGAGTAACATCCATTTGCCATAATACATTTTGTCTATTACCTCTAGTACTGATTCCTTTTTCATAAGAGGATAAATTAAAGGGTCCACATTGATGACATCTTTGTATAACAATCTCTCGAGCTTGTTGCCAAGTAATTCCAATTTTTTTCATCATTCCATTAACATTTAAATGAGTATGTAGATGAAAATTTACACTAACACTTCCTACTAATAATTTATCTATTTTATCATTTAATTGTGACATTGGTCCTGGAAGACAAGAATGAGATTGAATATGAGATATATAGATGAGAGAGAGAGAGATCATTGATGAATTAAAACTTATAACAGTAAATAACATACTAATATTAGTGTCTTGAGAAGAAATATATACTGTGTCTATAGTTCTTACAGTAAACTCAGCATATTATGAATCAGTAACTGTATTAAAAAGAATTTTTTTTATCTTGCAATAACATAATTCTAAAGCAGTATGACTCTACAGAGGTTTGGATTTCTGGTCCTGATGAGAGTCTGGGTCATTAGTTTACTGGCCATTGGCTGTGAGTTGATTGTATTTGGCCTCCTATTTTAAAAAGGCATTAATCACCAGTAAGGGTCTGGGATCCAGGTGATATAGCACTGGTCTATCCTTTGCTGTATAGAGGTAACTCATTGTTGCTGTGATGCTAAACACTGTGACACTGATGTGTCAAATGCTATAATGGTTATTGATGATGGGCAGTTTTTGGTGGAGCTCCCTGATTAAAACAAGCTTGGAAGCAGGAGTGGCATCCATTTCCAAAATAGCTTGCCTCCGGAAACTCTATGAACGTGGAGAAAGGATGAAAGTTATGCAAATGTTCAGGTGTTTAGTTTGTAGAGTTTCCATGAGTTGTCTACATTTTGATGGCACTTAACAACAACAGCAACAATAACATAATAATAGCATATAATTCAGCCTGTTGAACAGAAGTCAAGTTAGTTTTAACTACTTCATTATCTTAACCATTAGTATAGCCTGCATATCCCATTTTATTTGTATCAGTATAATAAGTATCTGTTTGTAAAGGTCAAGCTTTTACTTTAGTGGGTAGTATCCAATTATTACATTTAACTGATTTCTTTTTTATTACAAACACTGGAGAATTACAAAGACTAGTAGTTTCCTGCTAATTGCTTTAAAGCCTCTAATTTCTCTTCTGTTAGTATCCACTGCTCCACTCTTTCTGTTCTCCCTTATAATGAATATGTCACTTACACTTTGGAAAAAGTAGCTTTGTTTCTTAGCACTTCAGAAAGTCTAACTTTTTGAACTTTTACAGATCGTTAAACAAGGTTACTCAACTTCTGTAACACATCTTTTTATACTTTTTATTCTTTTCATCTACCCTGAGAAATAATATTGCAACTGAGCTGGCACTCCAAACCACTGACTTCTCCCCATCAATTGATCAGCAGTAACATTAAGAGGAGGATTTCTGGGACCCTGGAGCGAAAGCCCCTGTCACAGCTGTGTAACCCCAGAGCAGTCCGTCCCAGCCAAGACCCCACAAGACATCTGCAACCTGACTGAGGTACTCACATGTGACTACCTGGAAGACAGCCCTACCAGGGGAGAGCTGTACAGCTGCAACCTCAGTGAGGTCCCTGTGATTCCCCACAGGGGCAGGTAGCCCTGCCAAGCATGAACATCTACAAACTGAGTTTTTTGTGTGGGTACCCAAGCATCACTACCCAGACAGATAGCCCAGCTGGGCAAGAGGGGAACAGTTGCAAACTGAGTGAGGTTCCAGATGCTAGCCTTGCTGGGAACCAGCAGGACATATGAAACCTGAGTGAGGTCCCTGAGTGTCCACACTAAGGCAGTAACACCACCACTCCCCCGTCCCTTGCCAGGCCTGAGTGGGACAGCTGCAAACCTGAGTGAGGTCTTCCCACGTGCCCACCTGGACAGCTAGCCTCACCAGACGACAGCATATACCTGTGCTTGTGCCTGTCCCCCCCACTAACCAGCATACACCTGTGTTAGTGCCTACCCTGCCTTTTCCCCCTCCCCACTGCCTTCACGTCTCCTCAGGGCCAGTCAACTAACTGCCTTTAAAGTGGAGAATCTTGGTCTGACTTAGCTGTAATAATTATTGAACAGAAGAAGCCACTTTCACAGGCCATGAATGGACACGTGCTTTGGTTCAGAAATTCAGAGAGGAACACAGGAAACATAATTACTACGTTCATTTGTAGCAGTGATTTCAGATCAAGAACCTATCATCACCTTTGGCATGAAAAATCCTGCCACAGTATCATCAAGAAGGAAACAGACCATCTCACAAGCTACACAAGCACAAAGCAAGATGTTACCTCCAAAATTTGACACAATACCAATGGATTTCCTGAAGCCAGAAAGTCTGATGGAAATTTCTGACACAGAATTTAAAAGAACAATGATTGAATATTTTCAATGCGTGAAAGACAAACTTGAAGAATTACAGAAAACTTCAAGGAAAAACCAGGAAGAGCTTAAAAAAACAATCCAAAACAATGCAGATAAATAAATGAGACATTAGAAGCTCTGGAAAAACAAGAAACCATGATCCGAAATATGAGGACCAACATTTCAGATACTGTCAAAATGATGGAGGGACATATGAACAGAGTTAAAGAGATGGAAAACAGAATCAGTGAAATAAAGATGGAATTGTCACCACTGATCTGCTAGAACAAAAAGTAGAATCAAAAAGGAAAGAAAAAGAAGAAAACCTAAGAATAATGTGGGACACCATCAAGAGAAATAACATGCACATCATCAGAATCCCAGAACAGGAAGAAGCAAGTAAAGGCACTGAAAAAGTTGTGGAAGAATTGCTAGAGGAAAACTTTTCAGGCATAATGAGGAAATATATATTCAAGAAGCTGAATGAACACCATATAGAATAGACCCCATAAGAAAAACACCAAGGTATATTATAGTCAAATTTGCCAGAACCAAAGATAAGGAGAGAATTCTGAAACCAGTGAGGAAGAAACAAAGAGTAACCTATAAGGGAGAACAGATAAAACTAAATGCCAATTTCTCAGCAGAAACCATGCAAGCAAGAAGACAGTGTAATGACATATATTAAACACTAAAAGAACACCATTGTCAACCAAGAATATTGTATCCAGTGAAATAGTCCATCAAATATGAAGAAGAGATCAAGATATTCCCAGAAAAACAGAACCTAAAGGAGTTTGTGAAAACAAAACCACTGTTGCAGGAAACACTGAGAGACGACCTTCTTATAGAGGTGCCACAGAAAGCAGGATGACCAAAGTAAATAGCAACAACACCAAAAAGAACTCAACACAATGAAGGCAATAAAACCATACTCACACTGAATGTAAATGGTTTAAATGCACTACTGATAAGAAAAAGAGTAGCAGATCAGATAAAAAACCAAAAGCTGTCTATAAGAGACACACCTGAAAATTGAAGATAAAGACTAAAAATAAAAGAAAAATATATCAAGCAAATGGCAACTAGAAAAAAGCAGGAGTAGTGATATTAATCTCTGATAAAATAAATTTCAATGCAAAAACCATCACAAAGGACAAGAAAGGTGCTTGCTTAAAGGATCAATAGAATATGAGGACGTAACAATAATGAATATCTATACAGCAAATTATATAGATCTGCAAAATATTTAAAACAAATATTAACAAAACTGAAAAAGGAAACAGACAACACTACTATAGTGGTTGGAAACTTCAATACACCACTTACAAGAAAATATAGAACTACCAGAAAGAAACTCAACAGAGATGTTGAATAATTAAACCACACAATAAACAACTCAATTTCATAGATATTTTTAGGGTAATGCACCCCAAAAAAGCACAGTATACCTTCTTCTCCAAGGTGCATGGAACATTCTCCAGAATAGATCACATCGTGGGCCACAAAGCAAGAATCAATGAATTAAAAAACATAGAAATCATATAGAACATGTTCTCAGATCACAATGCTACAAAATCAGAAATTAATAATTAGAGGATAAAGAAGAAACCCGTTCATCTGCAAGTTGAACAACATCTTGCTTGAACACGAGTGGGTACAAGAAGAAACAAAAAATGAAATAAAAAAGTTTCTTCAAACAAATGACAATGAAAATACAACTCACCAAAACCCCTGGGAAACAGCCAAAGCAGTAATCAGAGGTCAATTTATATAGCAATAAACAAACACATCAAAAGGCAGGGAAAAAATGACTATTGGTTCTGTAATCCAACATCACCAACAAATTGAAAAAGAAGAGCAAGAAAACCTGACATCTTCTAAAAAACTGAAATTATAAAAATGAGAGCAGAAATAAATTAAATAGAAAACAGAAAAACAATTGAAACCATCAACAAAACTAAGAGTTGGTTCTTTGAAAAGGTCAATAAAATCTACAAACTAGTAGCACAACTAACAAAAGAAAGAAATACAATACACAAATGATCCTAATAAAAGATGGATCGGGCAACATCATAATAGAACAAAGTAAAAGAATAAGACTAACAATGGAATATTAGGGAAAACGATACTCAAATAACTATAAAAACCTAGAGGAAATGGACAAATACTTAGAAATTCACAATCTTCCTAGACTGACACCAACCAAAATTGATCATCTGAACAGACCCATCACAAAGGAAGAAATTGAAATGCTAATACAACAACTTCCAGCCAAAAAAAAAACCCTCGACCAGGTGGTTTCACAAGTGAATTTTATCAAGCATTCTGAGAACTGTCACAAATTCTACATAAACTATTTCAGAAAATAGAAAAAGATGAAATTCTCCCATATTCATTCTATGAAGCAAACATATCCTTGATACCAAAGCCAGGTAAAGACACTACCAAAATAGAAAACTATGGGCCAATTACTCTCATAAACATAGATGTAAAAATCCTGAATAAAATACTGGCCAATAGAATCCAACGCTACATCAAAAAAATAATTCACCATTACCAAGTAGGAGTCATAACAGATATGCAAGGATGCTTCAACATAAGAGAAACTATCAATGTAATTCATCACATCAACAAAGAAAAGAACAAGAACCACATAATCCTATCAATTGATGTAGAAAAGGCCTTTGACAACATCCAACACCCTTTCCTGATTAAAACAATCAACAAAACAGGATTAGAGGGGAATTTTTTCAACAAAGTGAAAAATAAATAGCAAAGCTGAGAGCAAATATTGTTCTCAGTGGAGAGGGATTAAAGGCATTCCCATTAAGAACAGGAACTAGGCAAGAATGTCCAGTATCACCCCTCGTACTCAATATGGTATTGGAAGTCTTAGCAATAGCAGTAAGGCAAGAGAAGGAAATAAGAGATATCCAAATTGACAAAGAGGAGATAAAATTATCTCTCTATGTAGATGATATGATAGTAGTATATTTAGAAAACCCTAAAAACTCAGCAAGAAAACTTCTAGACATAGTTGACCAATTCAGCAAAGTGCAGGATATAAGCTCAACATACAAAAAGCAGTTGGATTTCTCTACAGTGACAAAAAGAATACAGAACTGGAGCTAAAAAAAACAATACCCTTCACAATAGCTAATCACAAGAGTAAATACTTGAGAATAAATATAACAAGAAGCACAAAGCATCTCTTCAAAGAAACTTACAAAACATTACTACAAGAAACAAAAAGACTTGAAGAAGTGAAAGAAAATCCCTTGCTCATCGATAGGAAGAGTCAACGTTATGAAAATTATAATACTACCAAAGGCAATATACACTTTCAATGCAATCCCAATGCACATACCAACTCCATTCTTCAATGAGATGAAAAAAAGGCAATCTCCAATTTCATTTGGAATGGAAAGAGACCCAGAATAAGCAAAGTACTCCCTAAAAAGAGAAACAAATAGGAGGCATCTCAATCCCTGATTTCAAATCCTACTACACTGTCATTGCTGTCAAGACAGTGTGTTACTGCTATAATGAGAGACACATAGATCAATGGAATAGAATAGAGAATCCAGAAATCAGCCCATCTACCTGTGTTCAATTGATTTTTGACAAAGAGATGAATCAGTTAAGTGGAAAAATGACAGTCTTTTTAACAAATGGTTCTGGCAAAATTGAAAAACTATCTGTAGAAAACTCAAGGAAGATTCACACCTCATCCTATACACAAAAACCAATTCAAAATGGATCATGGACCTAGGACTAAAACCAAGGACTGCCCTCGGGCCTGTCTTTCATTGTTTTTGTTCAGACATTCCTCTAGGTCATAGCCCTGGTGTACAAGTTGCCGTACCACGGTCACTTTTGGTTGCTCTGAGGCTGAACACTGTAACACTGATGTGTCAAACGCGTTAAATGGTTGGCTACCCAGTGTGGACAGAGAGTGGGGAGGAGCTCCCCAATTAAAAC